TAAAAGCCTTATTTTATGAAGATCATGACATTGATTTTTTTAAAACTAAACTGTTGCCACATGCCAACTGTGTCTGATTTTGACCTAATTTCAGGTACTTGGAACTGATGAGCTAAATGCATATCTGAATAAATATCATTTAGAGCTTGATCCTCAACTTGATGCGCTTGTTGGGAGGTTTGTTAATCATGATTTTCTTCTCCATGTTACAAATTAGTTTGCCAATAGTCAGAAAAATGTTTGATTAGGCTATAATGTGGCCTTTGCTCCCTACATCAAGACCATTTATATTTAGTTAGTCCACAATAAACCAAGAGAGCAGCACTGCTATATCCAACATGAATTAATGTGTCATGTTATACTGCTGCAGGCACAGTAGGAAGCCCTGGTCCAAGTTTATTAATTCAGATAATCAGCACCTTGTGTCTCCTGAGGTTCGTCATCTTACACAATTTGTTAAGTTTACTCCACCTATCATCGATAGCCTTAAACTATCATTGATTCTGTTGAGGTGCTGATGTGCAGGCCCTTGATTTTCTTGATAAGCTTCTTCGGTATGATCATCAAGACAGGCTAACTGCTAGAGAAGCAATGGTAATTCCATTTTTGGCTTGTCAGCTAGATTATATTTGTCTGTGGTTTAATCGATGGGCACAGACTTATCCCATCCAGTCTTTCCTCAAGCATGTTGAATCATGTGCAATGGGAAGAGAGGGTGTGCACAAAATGCATGTGTTAGAAATGCCATCCCTGTCCAGCATCCAAACACAAAATAGTAGTACATGGATATTGTAATCTGTACAGAAATTTTCCTGTCTCCGTATTGGATGCACATTGATATTTCAATAATTGGCTTAAGAGAAGCTCAAACTTGCTATTGGTTTGCAAGTTGCACTCCAAGTGGGGTTGCTTTGTGTGTGTATCCAATCTTTTTGCTCCTTGAACCACGTTTGTTAGTCTTATTGCTTGTTTAGAGTTTGACATTTAAAGTTTTTGCAATGCGAGCATGTGAGCTTTTGGACTGGCTAGCACAAACTTGCCTGTAGCTATGCATGGTTAATGTTTTGGTTGATAACAAAAGCTTGCTATTCTGGATACGCGAACATGTAATCTAATTGTTCCTTGGTGTTTTAAATGAAGGCCCACCCATATTTTTCTCAAGTGAGGGCTGCAGAAAGTAGCAGGATGCGGACACAGTAGGAGGTTGCTATGGTATTCTCAGGGAGTCTTCAGTGGACCGGAGGTACGCCCATAAATGTCCTTCAAGTGAGAGCTGCAGTATGCTGCCAAAATAGCTGGTGCTTGCTTAGAGTGTGTCAGTGGGCTGGCGGCCACTGCATATGGGACAATGTATTGTGCTTATGATCATCTGCCCTGTACCTTTTGTTGTTTGCAGGCAGTTAAAGAATTGTGTTTGGTCTTTAGTCACTGTGGTCATGCTGTTGTTTGGGAGAATATAGTCGAGTTATTCACTTTTGACCTTAGCCCCCGCCCCCCTAGTATTTACCTGCTCGGTGATTTTCGCATGCATCCGTCGACGTGAATCCTTTGCCAGCCATGGCCAATGGTTTTTGCAGAGGAATGAAATGATGTGGACAGTGGTTCGATTAGTCATATCATCGATTATAAATAATAAATATTTGGTAGAAGTCACGAGGACTAATATCCGGGGAACGTACAAACTCTTGTGATCATCAGCATCGTTACCTCCCCGCCCTACCGGTCTAAAAACTCGCACGGTAATTAGTACAAACCAGCACCATGAAAATTGTTTTTATCAGGAGCTTGTTGATGTGTTCATTAAATAATTAATTGAATATTAAAATTCTTAAAAGAAAAATGTTCAATGTTGTATGCATCATGAGTATGACATATAAGCTTTCTTTTATCAAGGCTAGAACGTGTTCTTTCAAGACATTATAATCATGAACTTTGGATTGTGAATACACGTTTCTCAACTTCAATTGATGATACGACATGCCTGGATTGACACCAATCTTATTTGTGCATGCGTCTCTCTTGTAAACCTCTAATCTAAAAATCAATAATCAATGAAACAATATTAAATAGGATAATCCTCAATTAAAAAATTGGTAAATTAAGAGAGAAAAATTGTTATGATTTGGAATAAAAATCCCCGATAAAATTATTTAAATCTAAGATAAAATAAAGTGGTAAATTGGTTTGCGAAATGTCAGCCAATAACAAATGATGTAATACCTTTAATATGATAAAATAATTATTTAAATGGAAATTTCTGTTATGATGGTAAAATAATTATTTAAATGGAAATTTCTGTGAAGAGGGTGAAAGTCCATAAAACTCCACGTCAATGAATTTATAGATTTACATGTGCATAATAATGTTGACTCTCGATACAAACCTCGTATTTATTTAATTGCATAAATTTGAAATCAAAACTCGTGAAATGTAAGGAAATTATTGTGATTAAAAATGAAAAGTCTTGGTAAGTTGGTGTGAAAATCCTAAGTAGATTAAATAATAAATTTAATAGAGATTTGAAATTGAAAAAAATAATAAAATTTAGAGAAATTGTACTATGAATGGTGATGAATAATTTTAGTAGGAAACTAATACAAAATAATAAAAAAATTCATTAAGAAGAAATTTTGTTACCGTTAAAGAGAGAAACAAGGATTTTGTTAAGGAAGAAGAAGGATTGCAAAAAAATCTTGCAAGGAATCAAGAAATTGAGTACAATTTTGATTGGCAAAGTATTCTTCCCTACATATTTCGTTGTGTATAAAGTTTTGGGCATGGGGGAAAAAAATCCCTAATTTCTCTCAATTTGGGTTTTTTTTTTTAATAAAAACTAAGGGAATAGGAGTTTAGTTGTGAAAATCTTAATTTGGCATGAAATACATGTTAGATAGAAGAGTAGAATTGAGAAAAAAAGAAAGTAAACTGATAAAAATCTATGGGTGGCTGTTAATGTTAGAGCCAACCATGAGGGGAAGGGGGGAATTTGTAAAAAATCCCATGAAAAATTGTATGTGGAATGGATGTGTATGTGTGAGCAATTGTGTGTGAAATAAGTTTTGGTTTTGACCGTGTAAAGTTGTATTATAATCATGTGTAAGAAATAGAAATTTTATATTAAAAAAGAGGAGGGATATTTTTTAATTGTTGTGCAGTTGCTAAAAATGAGAACTATGAAGGTCTTGAGAAAATTATAATTTTTTTTTTATGATTAATCAAGTAATTAATTTTGAAATTTTATTTTAAATTCTATGGTTCTTGATGTTTATGTTTTGAGTGAAAATTATGTGGATTCGAGTGAATATTGTATGCTAAAAATTAAAAACTTTGAATGGTTCTGCTGATGGACTGTAAGGGTGAGGTGTTGTTGAAGTTATAATATTAAAGATGTAGTATTGATTTTGAAAATTTTGTTTAAATTGTATGATATTAAGCGTTAAAATAATATGAAAGATTAAGGAATGGAAATTGGTTTAAAGTATGTGTTTGAGGAAAATTTATATAAGTGAAATCTTGTGTGATTATATAATTTTAAATGTTTATGGTTTAAAATAGAAGTTGATATTTTATCATATATGTTTAGAAAATATATCTTATTTGTATGAGAAATTTGTTAAATGGATTTGTGTATTGAGTTTATTATTATTATTGGAATAAATATGCTTGAAAATGGATTGAGAAAGTTTCCACAAATTATGAATATTGTTTAAAGTGGTTAAATAAATAGGAGTGGGATTTAAGAAATTTTAGAAGTGAATATGGTTGATTAATGTTGCCCCATGTTGTTGTATTTTGACAAAGGTTTTATAGTATATGGGACCATGAAAAATTGTATGTCTAATAGAAGTTTAAACATGTAATTTGAAGAGAGTTAACATCTACATTGAATTGTTTGGGTAGAGTTAATATATAAGCCACTAGGGGTTGAATTGGACCAACAAATCTTAAAAAACAAAGAAAAAAAAAATCTAGTTAGTATTATGGTGTTTCTTTTTAATATAGAAGTTTGGGATTATGTTCAAATGATATTTTAGGAGTGTGAATTTAATAATATAATGGAAATATGAGAGGTTGATTAAATAGTGTTAAAACTATATATGTTTGAACATTATTATAGAAATAATGTGTTTGATACAGTGATAGTTTTGAGTTTAGATAAGATTGAGATTTAATGAAATAATTAGTGATACAAACACAAATTATTATTAATTGAGAATTGTACGAGAAACGTTAAGAAGGGATTGGCCTTCCCTTTTTAATTTTTTAAAAATGTTTTTATAGTTGTTAGATTTTCAATGAATATTTAATTGTGTTGTGTATATTCATAAAATTATATGTGTTTTATGATTGATTATAAAAATAATAATATTATATATAATGTGAAATTAACCACAATTACGATAACTATTATATGAGTTATAATTAACAATGATAATATTATATGAGTTATAATTAATAATATTAAGTTATAATGAATATTGAGTTTGTGAATGATCACCACAATGATAATATATATGTGATTTGTAAATCAATTATGAAGCTGAAAATATATATAAATAATTTTTTTATCTATTTTTTAAAATTTAATTAATTTAAAAGTTATTTTTTTATTTATGTTATTTTTTTTCAAGATTATCTACACAATTCTCACAAATCAGCTCAAATTAATACAAATGGATCATATATTTTTTCATGTTAATATTAAATTAAAATATTATTTAATTCATTATTAAAACATATTAATTTTTTTTAAAATATATTATCAATAACTAAATATTTTTTTTCTAAGTTGTTTTTACTATACCATTTGGCTAGTCAAATGTTCAAAAAAAAAATTATTTAATAGATGAAAAAAAAATCTCCACGACTAGTTAACAAGTCTGAAAACATTCGAACCTTGAAGAATCTAATTGAAAAACAATTCATTTTGAAAACTATAAAATTAGGGGATTTAAATTGAAGTTGGACTTATGTTTTTTTTTTTTTTTGTAATTTTTATATTTTAATGAGATGGTGGTGCATAGAGAGTAAAGAGGATAACACCACCAGCACATGAAAAAATATGGGCGAAACCCAGCAGTAGCACCTCTGTTTCCTCGCTTTCTGCTACTGTGCGCCCTTATTGCTTTGCGTGCGACTGCTGCGCACGACTCTATCCAGCGCACCACCATCCTTTCCAACAACGAAGAAACCGATACCGTCAATATAATCGAGATCTCGAATCGACGGGGATCGATGTCGAAAGCGCGAGTTTATACCGATGTTAATGTTCAGCGTCCTAAGGAGTATTGGGATTATGAGTCTCTCACCGTTCAATGGGGGTAATTAAGTTTTAATCAAACCCTAATCTGTTACCGAATCTCTTTTTAGGGTTTTTCATTCTTATTTTAATTTTTTTACTAATCTGTGGTTGGGGAATCTCTGGCTTGAGAAATTAAGTGTTTGGAACGTGGAAGACTTTATCGAAGCCGTACTGAGCTAGATTTTTTGTGTGTGGATCTATTAGTGGTGAGGGAGAGAGGAATCTAAGATGTTTATGATGTATTAGGAATGTTGCTAACAGACTAGAATGGTGTCCGAAGTTGCCTGGTTCGGCAAATGGACGGGACCCATTTCTTTGGCCTGGGTATTTCTTTCAAATGCTATAGTATCCAAAGTACTGAAAGTAATTATTTCGTTTGTGTTATTGCTTTGTGCTCGTAAAGTTGTTGTCTAGAGCTGGATATACTGTGTGAATGTGGGAGATTTATGCTTATATTTTTTGAAGGTAAAGCCTTATTCAGCTTATGGAAGTTGATTTCTTTTTTTATGGAGTTGGTTTTTTTATAGAATCAGTAAGAAATGGATACTTTTGTTTGGTTTGAAGGATCTCTAAGTGCATAATTACATAGGACTGGCATATATTAAATGAAAGTTGTTGATACCAAGTTTTGATGCAAAACTTAAATCTTTAAATGAATGGGAACGGTAAAGCACGGAAAACCACAGCAATTTTAAAAGCTAAAAATACTTGAGAGAGTTGGATTTTGATGAATCCTATCGTACCATTTAGCTCCATGTATGAGTATTCTATATTAAATTGTGGGCTGAATCAGTTTACTCTTGATGTTTCTGTGTCTGAAAGTAAAATACCAGATTATTATACTGAGCATTGTGTTATATATAGCTGGAAGATCCGTTCATCCTTCCATTTCTTATTTCGACTTTCTAGTGTCTTAAAGTCATGGTGTGTTTTCTTTCCCTTTCTTTTATGCTTTTAACTTCTCAAGATCTTTCCAGAGATCAAGATGATTACGAGGTTGTTCGGAAGGTTGGAAGGGGAAAGTATAGTGAAGTTTTTGAAGGCATAAATGTCAATAGCAATGAGCGGTGTGTTATCAAGATACTCAAACCTGTTAAGAAAAAGAAGGTGATTATTAATATCCCTATATTTGACATATCAGTGGTTTTATGTTCTGTCTCATATAATAAAGGTTTTTCTGTAAATCTAGCTAGAAATCTCTTTGGGGCATAATGATGATCATTCTGTGGTATTTTTGCAGATTAAGAGGGAAATAAAAATACTTCAGAACCTTTGTGGTGGCCCAAATGTAGTGAAGCTTCTTGACATTGTTAGAGATCAGCACTCAAAAACTCCCAGCCTCATATTTGAATTTGTGAACAGTACAGACTTCAAAGTTTTGTACCCCACTTTGACTGATTATGACATACGCTACTATATATATGAGCTTCTCAAGGTAATTTAAGCATGGAAGCTCTCTCTTTTCTTCCCTCTTTAAACTTATCTTGACGGGTCAGAAACTTAGGAATTTGTTATGCATAAAATTATGTTAGAAGTCACTGGAGAGTCTACAATGTGTTCGTTTTTATTCAAGTGATTACATTGATATGGTCTCATCTATTGACCTTTCCTAAGGCATATTAGTGTCTCTGCTTGTAGGTCATCATCTTAAATTTGAGTCAGTACTAGTTTATGTGGGCCTGCTCACCGATGAAAAAAGAAAGAAGTGTTTTCATTATGAAGCAAATGTAGTATGGTGATTACATTAGGGTTTCTGAACAAATAAAGATATCTTCACAATGCAGGCTCTAGATTACTGTCACTCGCAGGGAATAATGCATAGAGATGTCAAGCCTCACAATGTTATGATAGACCATGAGTTGCGAAAGCTCCGCTTGATAGACTGGGGTCTTGCTGAATTTTACCATCCTGGCAAGGAGTATAATGTTCGGGTCGCCTCGAGGTAATGGCTGAATGCATGACATGATAGATCATTGTAATGAAATTTTGCCTCTTTATCCTTTTTGTTTTAGTTATTTACTTTTAACCCTAGAATTTAGGATAAATTTTAGTGAACCCTCCCTGGCCTTTTATTGATGTGCTAAAAGACTAAAAGCATTCTAATTAGGCAACTTAACATTTCGTGTCCATTTTTCAAGCATAAACTATAAATAAAGGCTGATTCCACTCAACTGGCCTCTATGTAATGTTCTTTCTAAGCTACATCTTGAATCAGTTGAATAACTGAAAACTGAGTGGTTCATAATGATGCATTTTTGGTAACTAATCTAAGTTTCGTTCCATATCAATCTGGGAGAAATTATGATAATGCATGATTCCATGATCCATGATGCAGATCTTGTGAGTCAACCATCAAAATGTTCTTTTTTTCTATGATTGGGTCTGGTTTCAAGTCCTTGGATTTCCTAGGAGGTGCTTTCTTGGAATTCTGAAATTTTTTATCCTGAACTTCAAGAATTGAACAGTTTTCTGAAAGTTCCAAGCACATCTAGTATCAGTTTAACCATTACCTTTTATAATATTCTTATGGTGATATATTTATGGCTTCAACTTATAATGAAAGATTAAAGTATTTTCCTTGTTTCTCAGATATTTTAAGGGGCCTGAACTTCTTGTTGATTTACAAGACTATGATTATTCTTTAGATATGTGGAGCCTTGGTTGCATGTTTGCTGGAATGGTGAGAATCACTCATGCAAAGCCTTTACATGACACTTCTTTATGAGATCTACCATATGATTGGCTGATCCTTTGTCATCATGTGATTTGCTGATTGCCCCTATTCTTGATGCAGATATTTAGGAAGGAACCATTCTTTTATGGCCATGACAACCATGACCAGCTTGTCAAAATTGCAAAGGTAATGCTGATTCAGTTGTTTGATAAAAACATTATGTAATGCTTTATGCATGCTATAAAAGCCTTATTTTATGAAGATCATGACATTGATTTTTTTAAAACTAAACTGTTGCCACATGCCAACTGTGTCTGATTTTGACCTAATTTCAGGTACTTGGAACTGATGAGCTAAATGCATATCTGAATAAATATCATTTAGAGCTTGATCCTCAACTTGATGCGCTTGTTGGGAGGTTTGTTAATCATGATTTTCTTCTCCATGTTACAAATTAGTTTGCCAATAGTCAGAAAAATGTTTGATTAGGCTATAATGTGGCCTTTGCTCCCTACATCAAGACCATTTATATTTAGTTAGTCCACAATAAACCAAGAGAGCAGCACTGCTATATCCAACATGAATTAATGTGTCATGTTATACTGCTGCAGGCACAGTAGGAAGCCCTGGTCCAAGTTTATTAATTCAGATAATCAGCACCTTGTGTCTCCTGAGGTTCGTCATCTTACACAATTTGTTAAGTTTACTCCACCTATCATCGATAGCCTTAAACTATCATTGATTCTGTTGAGGTGCTGATGTACAGGCCCTTGATTTTCTTGATAAGCTTCTTCGGTATGATCATCAAGACAGGCTAACTGCTAGAGAAGCAATGGTAATTCCATTTTTGGCTTGTCAGCTAGATTATATTTGTCTGTGGTTTAATCGATGGGCACAGACTTATCCCATCCAGTCTTTCCTCAAGCATGTTGAATCATGTGCAATGGGAAGAGAGGGTGTGCACAAAATGCATGTGTTAGAAATGCCATCCCTGTCCAGCATCCAAACACAAAATAGTAGTACATGGATATTGTAATCTGTACAGAAATTTTCCTGTCTCCGTATTGGATGCACATTGATATTTCAATAATTGGCTTAAGAGAAGCTCAAACTTGCTATTGGTTTGCAAGTTGCACTCCAAGTGGGGTTGCTTTGTGTGTGTATCCAATCTTTTTGCTCCTTGAACCACGTTTGTTAGTCTTATTGCTTGTTTAAAGTTTGACATTTAAAGTTTTTGCAATGCGAGCATGTGAGCTTTTGGACTGGCTAGCACAAACTTGCCTGTAGCTATGCATGGTTAATGTTTTGGTTGATAACAAAAGCTTGCTATTCTGGATACGCGAACATGTAATCTAATTGTTCCTTGGTGTTTTAAATGAAGGCCCACCCATATTTTTCTCAAGTGAGGGCTGCAGAAAGTAGCAGGATGCGGACACAGTAGGAGGTTGCTATGGTATTCTCAGGGAGTCTTCAGTGGACCGGAGGTACGCCCATAAATGTCCTTCAAGTGAGAGCTGCAGTATGCTGCCAAAATAGCTGGTGCTTGCTTAGAGTGTGTCAGTGGGCTGGCGGCCACTGCATATGGGACAATGTATTGTGCTTATGATCATCTGCCCTGTACCTTTTGTTGTTTGCAGGCAGTTAAAGAATTGTGTTTGGTCTTTAGTCACTGTGGTCATGCTGTTGTTTGGGAGAATATAGTCGAGTTATTCACTTTTGACCTTAGCCCCCGCCCCCCTAGTATTTACCTGCTCTGTGATTTTCGCATGCATCCGTCGACGTGAATCCTTTGCCAGCCATGGCCAATGGTTTTTGCAGAGGAATGAAATGATGTGGACAGTGGTTCGATTAGTCATATCATCAATTATAAATAATAAATATTTGGTAGAAGTCACGAGGACTAATATCCGGGGAACGTACAAACTCTTGTGATCATCAGCATCGTTACCTCCCCGCCCTACCGGTCTAAAAACTCGCACGGTAATTAGTACAAACCAGCACCATGAAAATTGTTTTTATCAGGAGCTTGTTGATGTGTTCATTAAATAATTAATTGAATATTAAAATTCTTAAAAGAAAAATGTTCAATGTTGTATGCATCATGAGTATGACATATAAGCTTTCTTTTATCAAGGCTAGAACGTGTTCTTTCAAGACATTATAATCATGAACTTTGGATTGTGAATACACGTTTCTCAACTTCAATTGATGATACGACATGCCTGGATTGACACCAATCTTATTTGTGCATGCGTCTCTCTTGTAAACCTCTAATCTAAAAATCAATAATCAATGAAACAATATTAAATAGGATAATCCTCAATTAAAAAATTGGTAAATTAAGAGAGAAAAATTGTTATGATTTGGAATAAAAATCCCCGATAAAATTATTTAAATCTAAGATAAAATAAAGTGGTAAATTGGTTTGCGAAATGTCAGCCAATAACATATGATGGTAAAATAATTATTTAAATGGAAATTTCTGTGAAGAGGGGTGAAAGTCCATAAAACTCCACGTAAATGAATTTATAGATTTACATGTGCATAATAATGTTGACTCTCGATACAAACCTCGTATTTATTTATTCGCATAAATTTGAAATCAAAACTCGTGAAATGTAAGGAAATTATTGTGATTAAAAATGAAAAGTCTTGGTAAGTTGGTGTGAAAATCCTAAATAGATTAAATAATAAATTTAATAGAGATTTTAAATTGAAAAAAATAATAAAATTTAGAGAAATTGTATTATGAATGGTGATGAATAATTTTAGTAGGAAACTAATACAAAATAATAAAAAATTTCATTAAGAAGAAATTTTGTTACCGTTAGAGAGAGAAACAAGTATTTACCGTTAGAGAGAGAAACAAGTATTTTGTCAAGGAAGAAGAAGGATTGCAAGAAAATCTTGCAAGGAATCAAGAAATTGAGTACAATTTTGATTGGCAAAGTATTCTTCCCTACATATTTCGTTGTGTATAAAGTTTTGGGCATGTGGGAAAAAAATCCCTAATTTCTCCCAATTAGGTTTTTTTTATTTATTTTTTTAATAAAAACTAAGGGAATAGGAGTTTAGTTGTGAATTGAGAAAAAGAAAAGTAAACTGATAAAAATCTATGGGTGGCTGTTAATGTTAGAGCCAACCATGAGGGGAAGGGGGAAATTTGTAAAAAATCTCATGAAAAATTGTATGTGGAATGGATGTGTATGTATGGGTGGCTGTTAATGTTAGAGCAATTGGGTGTGAAATAAGTTTTGGTTTTGACGATGTAAAGTTGTATTATAATCATGTGTAAGAAATAGAAATTTCATATTAAAAAAGAGGAGGGATATTTTTTAATTGTTGTGTAGTTGCTAAAAATAGTATATATTGCGTTTGACTTTGAAGGAAAGATGCGTAACATGAGAACTATGAAGGTCTTGAGAAAATTATAACTTTTTTTATGATTAATCAAGTAATTAATTTTGATTTTTTTTTTTAAAATTGTGTGGTCCTTAATGTTTATGTTTTGAGTGAAAATTGTGTGGATTTGGGTGAATATTGTATGCTAAAAATTGAAAACTATGAATGCTTCTGCTAATGGACTGTAAGGGTGAGGTGTTGTTGAAGTTATAATATTAAAGATGTAGTATTGCTTTTGAAAACTTTGTTTAAATTGTATGATATTAAGCGTTAAAATAATATGAAAGATTAAGGAATGGAAATTGGTTTAAAGTTGTAGATTTAATACATGATTTACATATTATATGTGTTTGAGGAAAATTTATATAAGTGAAATCTTGTGTGATTATATAATTTTAAATGTTTATGGTTTAAAATAGAAGTTGATATTTTATCATATATGTTTAGAAAATATATCTTATTTGTATGAGAAATTTGTTAAATGGATTTGTGTATTGAGTTTATTATTATTATTGGAATAAATATGCTTGAAAATGGATTGAGAAAGTTTCCACAAATTATGAATATTGTTTAAAGTGGTTAAATAAATAGGAGTGGGATTTAAGAAATTTTAGAAGTGAATATGGTTGATTAATGTTGCCCCATGTTGTTGTATTTTGACAAAGGTATTATAGTATATGGGACCATGAAAAATTGTATGTCTAATAGAAGTTTAAACATGTAATTTGAAGAGAGTTAACATCCAAATTAAACTGTCTAGGTAGAGTGAATATAGAAGACACTAGGGGTTGAATTGGACCAACAACACTTAAAAAACAGAGAAAGAAAGAACTAGTTGGTATTATGGTGTTTTTTTTTTTAATATAGAAGTTTGGGATTATGTTCAAATGATATTTTAGAAGTGTGAATTTAATAATATAATAAAAATATGAGAGGTTGATTAAATAATGTTAAAACTTTATATGTTTTGAACATTATTATAAAAATAATGTGTTTGATACAGTGATAATTTTAAGTTTAGATAAGATTGAGATTTAATGAAACAATTAGTGATATGAACATTAATTATTATTAATTGAGTTGTATGAGAAACATTAGGAAGGGATTGCCCTTCTCTTTTTAATTTTTTTAAAATGTTTTTGTAATTGTTAAATTTTCAATGAATATTTAATTATGTTGTTCATAACTATAAAATTATATGTGTTTTGTGATTGATCATAAAAATAATAATATTATATATGAAGTGAAATTAATCATGATAAGAATAATTATTATATGAGTTATAATTAAGAACAATAATAGTAATAAATATTATGTTTGTGAATTATCACAACAATGATAATATATATGTGATTTGTAAATTGATTGTAAAGCTGATAATATATATAAATGATTTTTTTGTCTATTTAAGAGTAACCTTTCTGTTTATGTTATTTTTTTTATAAAATTATCTACACAATTTTCACAAATCAGCCCAAATTAATACAAATAAATCATATATTTTTTCATCTTAATATTAAATTAAAATATCATTCAATTCATTATTAAAATTTATTAATTTTTTTAAAAATATATTATCAATTACTAAATATTTTCTTTTTCTAAGTTGTTTTTATTATACCACTTGGCTAATCAAATGCTCAAAAAAAATTATTTAATAGATGGTTTAATGATAAAAGTTTTGATTAAATTTTTTTTTTATAATTTTAATTTCAAGTTTTATAATTATTAAAAATTTATATAATTGTTAATTTTAAATTTTGTTTAATTAATCGAGATGAACGCTACGAAAACTTACGTTAATAATAATAATAATAAAAACTTAAATTGGCAGAAAATTACATCTCTCTAAGCCACGTGGCGAACGGGAACTGAAAAACTGTGCCAAAGTTTGTTGTAGAAGCCACCAGGGCAAGGAATCTATCAAAAGCAAGCAAAGCTTGAAACTGGCACACTCTATCTGGATCTGGCGCTGGATAAAACAAGAAAAGAAGAAGGAAGAAAGATCGAGAGGAAGAAAAATGGGAGTAGAAGTAGAGAATTCAAAATGGGAACCAAATCCATCACTCTACGGATTCATAATAACGTGTTGCTTCTTTTCAATCGCTCTCTTTCCTCGTTTTTTCAACAAATCTGTCTCTCCCTCTGCCTTCTCTGATCAGTCCCTCTCTCCCTCTTCCCACCGATACTTCCTCTTCCTTTACTTTCTCGCTTCAGGTATCGGAGTTCGTTTCTTTCATTTTCTCCTTTCTTTTTTACATTCAATTAGGTTTTGATTTTTTTTTTATTCTGCAGCGATGGAAGGAGTTTGGTCGGTTTTCGGAGATTTTGAGTTTGTTTATAATGGAATGAGTAAGGAGCAGATACTCTTCTCCCTTTGTCTTGGATTTGGATCTTCTCTTCTTTACGCTTCTCTTCTACCTTTCCTCTTTGATTCAATGTAAGTCTTATTTATTTATTTATTTTCTCATATGGAATTTATTTATTTTTGTAATTAATATTATTAGTGTGTGTGTATGGTTATTTTTAGAGGCGGACACCACAAGGCATGCTTGATGTTTTGCATGCTACACCTCTTTGTCGGTGCATGGAAGAGGATGGTGCCACCATCACACCCTTGTAGTTGGTTACCCACTCTCTCTTCATCGCTTGCCACTTCCATTTTTTCTTTTGCTTTCGAGGCGTGGCTCGTTCTTGAAAATGAAAACCAAGGGCATAGGCAACAAGCTCTCAATCACACTTTTTGGTTAATGACTTTCTTTGAGTCTGCATCATTGATTGGAAGCCAGGTGCTTGCAAATTGGCTACTTGCTAGTAATGTGGATACAGGAATTGCATCTTCTTCCACTGCAACTATCTTCATTGCAATCATTGGCATTTTCTGTGTCACGAAAGGATGGAAGCAAGTCCCACATTCTGCACCAGTGAAGAATCGCCGCCAGATATTTTACACGCATATCTTTAGTGGTGAGTGTTGTATTTTTCTTTTTCTGAGTAAAAACTCATGTTGTATTGACTGATTTGTGTGTGAACATCTTCTATGTGAAAATTTGAAGATTATTACAAGGTTGCATTTCAGTGCATCATTTGGACTTCGAACTCAAGTTAGAATATTGAAATGTCCACAGTTATTCTTTGAAATCATCCACAACTTAAATGGGATGTACATTGTTTTACCTCAGCGTGAATAAGCTGTAAGAGTTATACTGTCTATTTCTGGTTCTTGATCTGCCTTTTATAGTCACCGGTATCCATTTGCTGTTTTTTCCTTTGATGATTTACCTAAGGTCCAAAAGTTACTGCCATTGTAAGCATTTTTTTTG